CATTTGCACGGAGAGCAATGCCCGAATTGGACGAGATCTGGTCTCGGCGCAGCTGCAGCCCATTACATCCTGCCTGGAAATGGACGGAAGCGTAAGTTAACATGCTACACCACAAGCTCGATCAAAATTAAAGAAATTCCCATTGCAGACCCACTTGAAACGCGCTCTCCTGGAGGTTATATCCTCTGGTGTGGCTAGCACGAAACAGGACATTGACTGCTTCGTGAACTGCACACTGCTGAGTGCCCAGAAGGCATTGGAGGCGAAAGAGCAATCCCCGAAGGATGACTCCGACTCCCACTACATCAGCGATGCCCTGGACTTCCTTGTGGAGTACGAATTCGTGCGCCTGCAAACGGACGAGGAGGCGGAGACCACGGCCTATGTGGCCACTCGACTGGGTGCCGCCTGTCTGGCTTCTTCCATGCCGCCCACCGACGGCCTCATTCTCTTTGCGGAGCTGCAGAAATCCCGTCGCTGCTTTGTGCTGGAGTCTGAGCTCCATGCTGTCTACCTAGTGACGCCCTACTCCGTGTGCTACCAGCTGCAGGATCTCGACTGGCTGATTTATCTGGACATGTGGGAGAAGCTCAGCCCGGCCATGAAGAAAGTGGGTGAACTGGTGGGGGTCAAGGAAGCATTCCTCGTGAAGGCAATGCGTGGCCAAACGAAACTGGACTACAAGCAGATGCAGGTTCACAAGCGGTAAGTTCTTTTTCGAAATTGTTAAAAAAAATAACTATAATTAATGCTCTCATACTTACCACCCAGTTTCTACACAGCTCTAGCCCTGCAGGAGCTGGTAAACGAGACGCCCATCAATGTGGTGGTGCACAAGTTCAAGTGCCATCGCGGCATGCTGCAGAGTCTGCAGCAAATGTCGTCCACGTTCGCGGGCATTGTCACGGCCTTCTGCAACTCCCTGCAGTGGTCAACCCTCGCCCTGATCGTCTCCCAGTTCAAGGATCGACTCTTCTTTGGCATCCACAGGGATCTAATCGACCTGATGCGGTTGCCCGAATTGTCGCAGAAGAGAGCACGAGCTCTCTTCGATGCAGGATTCACCAGCTTGGTGGAGCTGGCCGGCGCCGATGTCTTGGAGTTGGAGAAAGTGCTCTATAACTCGCTCAGCTTCGACTCCGCAAAGCAGCACGACCACGAGAACGCGGAGGAAGCGGCCAAACGCAATGTGGTGCGGAACTTCTTCATCACGGGAAAGGCGGGCATGACCGTGGGTGAAGCTGCCAAACTGCTAATTGACGAGGCTCGCCAGTTTGTTCAGTACGAGATTGGAGTGGGCAGCATTAAGTGGTCCCAAACGCAGCCGGAGGTGAGTGCAAATTGCGAGTCGGTAAACAGTGGCGAGGAGGTGGACATTCACATGTCGCTGGAAGAGGAGCAAGTGCGAAACCAGCCGCCAATAAAGCGAAAGCTTTCAAGCGAAGAAAAAGGTATCGCCGAAGGTGCCTCCACCCACAAAATTCCCAAACTGAATCCTCTGAAGGAGCAACCAAATAAAGCACAAAATAGCCATTTCGATGGAGCTGTTAAAGGGATGGAAAGTATTGCTAGCCAAAGGAGTACAACTAAAACTCCTTTAGGACCAAGACCCAATCATTCCAACGTATTAAAGGCAAATTGTTTAACGGATTCTCAGCGAAAGTCTAAAGAGAAGGCACTGGAAACATTACAAACTCGATCGGTTGTTGCCAACAGCAATGGTCAATCGTCTGAGAAGCCTTTGGAGAAGATGGAAAACCGAGGCCTCATTAACCTTAATCCGGTTATAAGATCCGCTGAAAAGAACATGGTTAATACTAAGTCTGTGGTTGCTATTAAAGGCACACAACCGACAACAGTTCATAAAGTTCAAGAGAAGGTGTCATCGTACTCTAGTTTGCCCAATCAAATCCAAAGTAACTCAACCAAGGACTTGCCAAAACAAATCCAGAGACAAGGCTCGGAGATTAAAAAGGAGAGTTCTGATAACCCACCTGCAGTCGAAGAGAAACCCACTACCAGTCACAATGCCCGGAAGGAGTTGCTTAGAAAGGAAATGGCCGAACGTCGGAGGATTGCATTAATGAAGATTCAGCAGAAGTGCGCAGAAAGGGAGAGCCAGCAAAGAGATCAGCACGTACAGACGGCAAGATCTACACACCTTCCCCCTGACCACATCCCAAGTAGTAAGGTGACCCAAAACAGTCCAGATCTGGGAACACCAAACCGAAATACAGTAGTCAGCAAGGCAATGCCATTCAAAACGCCCGCCAGCGCAAGTAGAGAATCCTCGGGAACCCCAACTAGTGGGCCAAGTAGTAGAATATCATCTCCTCACCTGCCCCGCAGAAGTCCACGAAATCACAATCCATCCCCGACCACCACTCCGAATCGCACTGCCTCAAGGAAGGCATCCACCGCTTCCACCGCTTCCACCGCTTCTACCGCAGAGCAGGATCTTTTCATGGCCGACGACTCCTTCATGCTGAACACCGGACTAACTGCTGCTCTCACGGCCGCCGACAGCAAGCTCCTTGCTTCCTCGGAGGCAGATGAGATCCCCAGCTCGCAGCCCAAGGAACCGGAGGTGATCTGCGCCCTGACTCCACATGCATCGCGGATGATGCGCTCCTACCAGCTGCGTTCGCAGCGCTTGCAGAGTCCCAGTGCCAGATCAATTGGCAGTGCGAGTACCGGAGCATCGACCAGTGAAACCGAATCGGAATCGAAAGTCCAGTCCTCCAGTGCGGCTTCCTCCATGGAACTCTCGGACATGTCCATGGAGAACTCATTGATGAAAAACCCCATGCAGCTGAATGCATCGCACATCCTGAGCTGTTCCAAGGTGGATGACAGAGCTTCCAGCTTCGCGTCCATAGACATAATCGACGTGTGCGGCAACAGGCAGTTGTTCCAGGGCGCCCTCATGGAGCTCCACGAGGCCACGCGTTGCGGCTTCAGTGTGGGCCTGCAGGCACAGGCGGGCCGACAGAAGCCCCTGATCGGTGGCCACCTGCTGATCAACCAGGTGGCGGCGGCCGAGCAGCGGGAGGCGGCTGGCGGAAGGCAGGTGCTCTTCCAGGTGGACGACAGCAGCTTCATCGCCGGCCTATCCTTCTGCCTGGCGGACAATGTGGTCTACTACATGAGCCTGCAGGAGGAGGTGCAGGCGAGGGGCCAGGGAGTGCCCACCAGCCTGAAGGTGCAGGAACTGTGCAAGCTGATGGCTCGGAAGGAGCTCACGCTGATCATGCACGATGGCAAGGAGCAGCTGAAGATGCTGCTCAAGGCGATGCCGCAGCTCGAGAAGATCAGCGTCAAACTGGAGGATCCCAAGGTGGCCAACTGGCTGCTGCAGCCGGACAAGACAATGAGGTTTCACAACATGGTAACTATTGATCAACACATCCAACTGTTCTCTTTTAATGGTTAATCCTGCAGTGCCAGCAATTCGCTCCAGAGTGCACTGCGCTGGCCGATCTCTGTGGCAGTGGGCGTGGCTACAGCAGCTATGGCCTAGACACCTCCAGTGCCATTCTGCCCAAGATCAGGACGTCCATCGAGGCCTGTGTGACAGTGCACATCATCAAGGGCCAGACCGAGAATCTTGAGAGGATCGGCAAGGGTGAATTGCTGAAGTTCTTCCAAGGTGGGTGGTTCAACAAAGGCACTCCTTGTTGAAAAGTTGCAGTAACCAGTGCCCTTTTCAGATGTCGAGATGCCCATTCAAATGTCTCTGTGCCACATGGAGTTCGTGGGCTTTCCGGCCAAGCAGCAACGGCTGCAGCGGCTCTTCCAGCAAATGGTGGCCGTCATGAAGAAGCTGGAGGTGAAGATCTACGAGCAGCACGGCTCCCGCTTCAATCTCGGCTCGACGCAGGCCGTGGCCAAGGTGCTGGGCCTGCACCGGAAGCCCAACGGACGGGTGACCACGTCGCGCCAGGTGCTGGAGAAGTTGGACTCGCCCATCTCGCTGCTCATACTGGGCCACCGAAAGCTCGGCGGGCTCTTGGCCAAGAGCATTCAGCCGCTGCTCAAGTGCTGCCAGGCGGACCGAATCCATGGCCAGAGCATCAGCTATACGGCCACGGGTCGCATCTCCATGACGGAACCGAATCTGCAGAATGTGGCCAAGGACTTTGCGCTGAAAGTGGGTGCGGATGCCATCAATATATCCTGTCGATCGGCATTCGCACCCCACGACGAGGGGCGATGCCTTCTCTCAGCGGACTACTGTCAACTGGAAATGCGAATCCTGGCCCATCTGTCGCAAGACAAGGCACTGCTGGAGGTGATGAACTCGCCGCAGGACCTGTTCACGGCCATTGCGGCGCGCTGGAACCGCATAGACGAGTCCGAGGTGTCGGAGCCCATTCGCAACGGCACCAAGCAGATCTGCTACGGCATTGTCTACGGCATGGGCATGCGCAGCCTGGCCGAGTCCCTCAAGTGCCAGGAGCAGGAGGCGCAGATGGTGTGCGAGCAGTTCCACCAGGCCTACAAGGGCATACGGGAGTACACGCAGAAGGTGGTCAAGTTTGCCCGCAACAATGGCTATGTGGAGACCATCATGGGCCGTCGCCGTTACCTGGACCACATCAACAGTCCCGAAGAGCAGATGAAAAGTAATACTTGTAGTTCTCCAGCTGAATGCGTTTGGTGATCGTCTAAAGATCGTTTCTTTACCCGCAGATCAGGCCGAGCGGCAGGCCATTAACTCCACCATTCAAGGCGGTGCTGCGGATATTGCGAAAACGGCCATTTTGAAGATGGAGAAGAACATGGCCCGCTACCGAGGAAAACTGGGCTTGGGGGAGCGATCGGTTAACCTGGTCATGCACCTACACGACGAACTAATCTTCGAGGTGCCAGCCGACAAGGCCAAGAAGATAGCCAAAGTGCTCAGCCTCACCATGGAGAACTGCGTCAAACTCAGTGTGCCGCTCAAGGTGCGGCTGAAGATCGGACGCAGCTGGGGTGAACTGCAGGAGATTAGGGTGTAGCTTGTTCTATTTACTTTTATTGTACATAGTATATCAAATTTTATAGGATTTTTTTAATCAAATTTTTATAGATTTTTAGACTGCTTCGCCTCCCACTCCGTCCAGGATCCGGCATAAGCCTTGGCGCTGCAATAATTTAATAGGCAAATAAATGTACAGAACTAAATGTAATGCAATTTGATTAGTACTTGGTGAAGCCCAGGGTGCTGGCCAAATTGGCTGCCCTGGCAGCTCGTCCTCCCGCCTTGCAGGAGAAGATCAGGGTCGCATCGATGGCCGGCTTTTCGCGTCCATAGGTCTGGGCAAAGTCCTTGTCCGGCAAGTTCAAAGCCTTCTCCAACTCGGCCACTGAAAATGGCGAAAAGGTGTGTCAAGTAAGCCGGTAATCCCCGGACTTAGGGAGCTCCTCACGTGGAATGTTCAGGCTGGCGGGCAGGACTCCCGTCTCCTTCAGCTCGGACTCGTTGCGGACATCGACCAGGTACGTTTCCGGGTGGTTTGGAACATCCTTGACTTCCTCGTAAGTGGCCATGGCAGTTTTTCTTTTTAAATAAATTAATTGAACGCCAAATTAAACCCGGTAAGCTGACTTATCTGAAGTGTGACCACTGAGCGACCAATTAAATATACCAGTAGTGAGTAAGAAAATATACCAAATTAAAGTTATTATCCCTTTTTTTTTAAATTTAATTTTAAATTTAATCAAACTTGATTAAGTAACTGAAACCTATGAATTTTATTTTAAAATTACCTTCATTTATGACAAAAGCATATGCAAATTTTATGTTTTTGCCTTAGAAATCTAGCCACCAAATCGAATACAAAACTAAAGGTTCTTCCAAAAATGTGTATTTTATTTATTATACAATTTGAAAATCAGTTTTAATTTCACATTTAATAATATTCAAGAATTCACTAATTACAAAATAGTCGAAGCACAGGCAATAATTTGCACTTACAAAATTTAAATTGCACAACATTTTCATTTCAATTCTTGCGGGCTTTCATGAGGGAGCATTTCAAACCATAAACTTAGAATGCGAAATAAATATAGGAAATACATGCTTTCTACCCACGTTTTCCAGTTGTAAATTTCAATATAACAAATATATATTTACTGTGTATCAAAAGTGGTACGGTTGCAAATTAATCGCCCTCCAAGCTGCACATCGACATTAGCATTAACCTAGATATTGTATACAGTATAACTTCATGCTTTTTCATTGGCATTGAACAATTGTTTCTCCACACTCTCTCTCTTAAGTCAACAACGACATTTGGGCGCTCAACACACACTGTTTGTCTTATTCCACTAGGCTGGTAGCTCCTCTTTCCTACATTACATCTCGCCCTACAATCGATTATCCAAAAATATGCTATGTTTGTGTAAATTCTACGAATTTATGATTGATATCTCATACGTTGCAATGCTTGCCATTGCCGCTTGTGTGTTTTAATACCCAGTTTAGCGCGTTCATAACGAGTATAGTACATATAAAAAGGCAGTCGCCTGCACTGTGGTTGAAAATCAAACGAATCGAACATAGTGCATCCTAGGAGTGGCTTGGTCTCTATCCGACTTCTGTGTACGTGTGTTTGGGGTGTGAGGTTGTGTGATCGGGTGTGTGTGCTACGGAGCACTACTCGTAGCGCTTCGACGGCGGTACTAAGTGCTCCGGCAGCATGGTGGGCAGCTCGCAGCCTTCCAGCTTCACGTTGATTAAGTGCAAGGCCAGCGCGAACTCGTCGGCGTCCAGGAAGCCATCGCCATCGACATCCGACAGTTTCCAGATCTTGCTGAGCACCGAGTTGGGCAGCTTCGATTTGATGAGCTCCTGCTTGGCAGCTGAAAGATACAGAAATATGTATAAATTTCCTCTTTCGGGATATAATATGTATAAGCAGATGCACTTACTTGCACCGGATATTTTGCCATCGACGGGTCCCAGCCCGTTGAATATGCCGTCTGTGCGCGGTTTGTCCTTGTTGCAGATCCACTCGTGCTCCCCGTAGCCGGCATCGATGCCCTCGCCCTTCATGTAGCCGAAGGGCGAGACGTGGTCGTCGATGACTCCCTCGAAGGCACCACCTGTGGATGAAGCAGTGGGTAAAAAGGGAAAGGGTCAGCTTGGAATTCCATAAATTTACATAAATTTGCATTAATTAAGCATGTAATCTAAGCTGATCGGTGCGTCGCCGTGCACAAACATTCAATTTGAGGCAATTAAAACCTTCAGATCGTTTTGGCTCCAATTGACGTCGCCGCCGTCGTATCGTGACTGTGACTAGGCCGACTGACCGACTTAAGCATGTACTTTGCCGGCTACTTTAACAGCCAATTGTGGTGCATTGCATTCTGGGGGCAATTGCGATGGGCGGTGCAGGTCGCCTGCCGAGTGCGATTTCAATTCACTTTTTTGAAGTTGCTCAATTCGTTTGCGGCCTCTTGCTGTCGCAGCGGGCAATTGAAGAGGGCATGACTATAGGCAAATAGCCAAATTGGAATTACTTTTTTTTTTAAATATTTGACCAAGAAATCAGACTAGTAATTTAGACTTTTCGGACTATTATATTCAATTTAAGTGCATACGATTTTTATAAAGGTATAATTTATCTTCTATTATGCATTCAACTATAATAAGCTTTTGAAGAGTACAAAAGTCAAATCATAGATTTGGATTTCATCCATTTATAGCTTCAAATGTATATCTTTTTAAAGAATTTCCTTTGCAGATTATATTTTAAAACATACAAATATTGTGTACATTTATACTTTCTGGAAACAGTCTGATTATTTTTTATTACCAATTTCGCAAGAGTGTGAATTTGCTAAACGTATATTTTTATTGGAATCTCGAGTTGGCACACAATTTCATTGATGTTCTTTATATACATCTGATTTATTTTGAATGAGGTAAGGATTGCGTCATAACACTGATTTAAGAAACAACTACTGAGGGTGCTTACGTCCATGTCTGTCCCTGTCCCCGCCTCCGGTTCTTCTTCAGTTTCAGTTACAGATTCAGGTTCAGGATCAGGATCAGCCTTAGTTTCTAGCTCAGGTTCAGGATCAGGATCAGCGTTAGTGTCTAGCTCTGGCTCAGAAGCAACTTCCAGGCCTGGCACAAGCACTGATTCTGGACCAGGATCGGCGACTTTATCGTTCTCGACATTGCCCACCCGACTAGTGCAACTGCTGAACAGACGGAGCTGCTGCTGGCGCAGATTTTGCAGCCAGCGATCGAAGCGCTGCCGCTGCGAACTGGGGGTCAGAAGAGCAGGCTCCTCGGCCACATCGACATCGACCTCGTCAGAATCCTCTTCGGGTATGCAAGAAAGAGAGAAAGAAGGTTGACAGAGGAGCAGAGCAACTGAAGAACTGGAGATTTGGAGAGTGCGGCAGTGCGACTCGAACGTGGAAATCAAAGTAAGAAAAATTAGTGGGCCAATGGCGAAACGAAAAGAACGGCGAACAGAAGAGCTTATTTCTGCAAGATCGTGTTAGATGTGTGTACAACTATTTAGCGACATAATGCTAAACATGTGATGTGACTCAAGAAAACCTGACCAAGTGCGATCGAGGGCACAATCCGCATCAGATTGATTTAGGATAACAAACCAAAACTATAAAGACATCACTGGTTCATCGCAATTATCCAAGACAAAACAACGGAAACGCCACGAAATAAAACCAAACTGTGCACAGAATGCAACAAAAATAAAATCCGAGATACAGAGATACAGATACAGATACAGATATAACACGCACACATTGAGGCACATGCACTAAATTAGAGCCCCGAGTTCTTGACTTTGATTTCGAGTTGTTTGATCGCGATTCGCTTTATCAACGCATTCCGCGCCTCTCTTTTCTTCCGCCCCTTTCCCCGGGTGTAATAATAAACGAGAAGTTCATTCACTTGCCCACTGAGGCGCCTTTAGGGGCTATCGAATTTTACAAGCTGCAGCATAATGAACAGAGATCCGACATTCGAACGCGGATGACACATTCCGTGAAATAATAGTGCCCCCATGACATCAGTCGATCGCTTTCGGCGGCAATCGTTTCATGCATAGATTTTCCCTCCGAAAAATGTATATGTACGTATGGTATGTTGTGTGCCGAATGCTGGCGCACAAGGTCATGCGAAATGCGCTACTAGTTAAATTAAAAAGCCACTCAAGTGGTCCGCCATCCAAGAGGCATACTGAAAAGATCAGCCAGTGCCCCAGACAATGGACTGCTCCCGAACTGTAGATCATAGTAAAATGCTTTCTTCCTGCACTTAGCGCTAGTTCATCTGAAAGACGAACATTCCCCTCTGGGAATTCAATGGCGGATTAGGCGGAGGATGAGCCAATTTGTGCCACACGCCCCGAGTCAGAATCGGAGGAGCACAATTGATACGCGGCCTCAGGTTGCCAACGCCATCAAACGCCATATCTGGCGGCAACCGGTTCGCCTCACAGAATTGACTTTCCCGAGGTGGGATGGGCTGTTCAGGGATCGTCTGGACTGGGCGTGGGGATTAATAATGTTTAATCAGCTGGCCGCATGACAAATGCACCGGACAATCTTCTTTCTCAGCCCATACTGGAGTGCAAAGTTTTATTATATTTACTCTTTCCACTTTTCAAATTGCTTTGCCTATTTAGGGAGATAATTATTTTCGTTCTCCCTATCTGACTGTTTGTGTACTGAATTAATCCTATCACAAGCTTTTCGATTTTAGTTTTATGGTGTTCGTTTAGGGAATGTAAAAACATTCATATAAAATAATTGACTCGCCGATAACGAGTATGGTTAAATGGAAAGTCCATTTAGAAACCGCTGACAGAGACTTTTGTTCGAGCGATAAAAGAGTATGTAACATATGTACATTCAGAACAACTGATTATATAATGAGCAATATAATTAGTAACTGGCTTATTATAGGTTGCTTGTATCTAAAGCTTTTTAAGGCTGGAGATAATTTGTAATTGATTATATACGAAGCGAAACTGAGGAAGATGTCTAAAAATTCCAACAGCCACATACTTATTACTAAGTTTTAGTGTTTACTTTGCAGATAAACGAAATAAGTGTATGGAAATTAGAGCACTGCTAATCATAGAAGACCAGACGTGGCTCTAGGTTCAATCTCAGTCCGCCCGAGGAGACAGACAGACACAGACAGACACAGACAGACTTCTCTGGACTGATAAGGCTTTTTGCTGATGGCTCTCTGACTCGGCCTAACATTGATTTTTATCTAATACTTGGCCTGGAGTAGCAGCATTGCCTGGCAGCCCGATAAGGGTTGACAAACAAGCCACTTTGGCTTGGCCCACTAACGAATGCATGGGGGAACGCGAACAGGTGTGCGGGAAAAGCCGCACGGAAAGTCTAATTACATACATAGACCTTGAACTTTGGGCCACGCACGAAGTTCACAGGTCGCACTAAAACCGGTCGCCTCGTCAGCATGCATCGAATGGAATTGGCTCTCAATTAAAGTGTAGTCTGTTTGTGGACTACAATGCCATTGGCGCCTATCGTCTAGTCTCTGATTAGCTATATACCTACAATGTAGCTGTGGCTGGCTTCATCGTTTGATTCTCCCCTTTAAACTCGCTCGTTTTGCTGGGCGTTTTAGTTGGCCATCGGGTGCCGGGTGCGTGGTGCTCGTCATGGCTGCCTGGATGCGTCTGCTCCGGAGAGCCAGATCCGAAAAAAAAACCACTGGGCTTCGCTCGAGCATGAAATGTTTATCGTGCCCAACTGTACGCCTAGTATTTTCTTTTTTTTTCTGATGACTCATGCCCCATTTGGAATAAACCCTGTGCTGGGAGCTATCGATATTTTCCATTGATTACATCATAGCCACGAATCTTATCTAGCCGGTGAGAGTACAACTCACTTCTGGCCATGACGAAAGCAATTCGATAATTATTGATATACAAAAATGGTGTCGTTTGTGAGGCCACGCCCTGCCACAATCGCCCACTTGCAAGTACAAAACAGTTGATTATCATTTTGGCACCCAATATTTGCAAAAGATACAAGCATACGTGGTTCTTGGCAATATTAGCTTCCACCTCGATGTTTAGTTTGGCACAGAAAGTGCGTCTGTGTTGCCTAAGCGCTAAACTGACACCGACTTTTTTCGCCTTATCAGTTTACGGGGCTTATCACTTTGTTTATATAGCTCAAATATGCTTCGCATACAGTAGTATTTGGGGTTATATATAGAGACGTTGTCAAGGCATTGCATAATTTGCCAGCAAACGCTGAGCAGGAAGCTGCGAATTTGGGCCGAGAGGAAAATGTGGTATGAAAGCGAGCCTGAATCTGGCAGTTGTAAGTGTATCCATTGAATACATTTGGCTGCGGTCGTCTAGCTCTGACTGTAACTGAATCCAAACCGCTCGCTCCGCCGCTTGGCAAAACTTGTTTTTCCTCGCATTTTGGATTGGCAAATATCTGGGTTAACTGGGGAATTTTTCTCGCCGCGCATGCGCAATGTTTTTCATTGCGATGGGAAAGCGAAAATGCCAGCGAAACGCCGGCGGAAGAGCAGCAAATTTCTCGAAATCTACACTTGGGATGTCTGATTCCCGATTCGGATGGCCAGCAAGTGACTCAGGTGGTGACTAAGGCGACAAAGCGGTGCTCTTTGGGGGACTTACCCTTGACCACGGGCTCGCTGACCAGCGACATCTCCTCCTGCGGGATCATCTCGATGAGTCGCGCAATGTCCTTGGCCAGCATGTTGTCCACGATGTCCAGCAGGTGCGGCTTGAGCGAGTGGAACTTGGTGAAGTCCTGGTGCTGCAGCACCTCCTGCATCTTCTTGATGTCGGGGAAATCGCCCGGTGAGATGGACTGCTCGCGCTGGATGCGGTCGTACACCTGGCCGAGGTTCTTGATCAAATCCTTCTTCTTGCTGTCCTTGCCAAACACCGAGGGCATGTCCTTGCGCAGCTCGGCGATGATGAAGGCATGGACCTTGGCCAGGCGCGCCCGCTTGATCAGGTCGTTCAGCTTGCGCAGGGCGGCGTTGCGCGGCAGGGACTGCAGGTCACGGAACAGGTCCTGCTCCTCGTCCTCGAAGAGCCGTCGGTTGGCATCGAAGCGCAGCGGCTGATCCCAGAAGGAGCCGATGTAGACGCGCGCCACCTCCGGCGTCTGCAGCACCTTGCCCAGCGACCACATCAGCGCTCCGTACACCCGCATCAGCTGCTGGTGGTCGATCATGTCCGCCTTGTTCAGGATGATACGGATCTTGTCGTCGTGCCCCTTGAGCGCCTCGATCGAGCGCCGGAACTCGTCGGAGATGTCCAGCTTGTGGGCGTCGAACAGCAGGATGATGCGGTCCACCCGCTCCGCGAACCACTCCAGCACTCCGGTGAAGTCGTAGCCCCTGTCGATGCGCTGCTTCTCGCCGGACAGGATGCCGGGCGTGTCCACGATGGAGATGGCGTTCAGCACCGGCGAGGCCACGCTGCTGCACTGGAAGCGGTTGAGGAAGGCGTTGCCGTACTTGGACAGCGGCCGGAACTGCTTCTTGGGGTCCACCACCAGGGCGTTGCCCGGGATCACGCCCTCCTTGTCGTCGTACATCACGGCAATGAAGCGGTCCGTCGTCGGCTCCGGCCCGATCCGGATGCCCGGGAAGTCGCGCTCCAGCAGGTAGCGGATGAAGGTCGTCTTGCCCGTGGAGTACTGGCCCACCAGCAGGATCATTGGCTTGGCATCGAAGTCCGGATCCTCCAGCTTCGGCGAGTGGAAGTCGTGGAACTGATAGTGCTCCTCCAGCGGCAGCAGCTTGCTCCGATAAATCTTCTTCAGCTCGCCAATCACATTCTCCACCACCTCCTGGTTGTTCTTCTCGCGCTTCAGAAAGCTAAACATTTTGCAATACAATTGCACTTACAATTAGAAACCGGAGTAAATGTGAATGGGATATGCGGATTCGGATGCGGATTCGGAGTCGGGGAACGCGGCCGGATGCGGAGTTATGCTGGCGCGGATGCGGATGTCACGGACTCGACGACTACGGCAGTTATGTGTGTCTACACTCGATTGTCGCGCTGCGCTGGGACGTGTGGCGAATGATTCACGCGCGTACGTATTATTTTTGGAATATTTTTTTTTTCGCTCTGGACCGATAACGGACCAAGGCTGCAATCGGCGATGGGCGGCGCCTATCGTTATCGATTGCAGCCTACGTGGCGGTGTTTTTGAGCAAATCGATTAGTGGTAACACTATTCACGAAACGGTCTCCCTGGCGCCGATGGCGCGCACTTATCGAATTCAAATGAATGCTCACCTGTCGCCCGCTTCTTGACGCGGCATTATAAAATATAAAACAGTTGTTTGTACTCTGATCTGATAAAACTGTTGAGCGATATGAAAACGCAGCTTACCTTAATTTTGAATACTTTTAATACAAATACTACTTTTCAAGTCACAACAAGAAATAATAAAATAAAACTCTGGGGCTACGCCGATCGTAGATGCCAAATTTGTAGGTCCCTGAAATCATATTTAGGGCTTTAGGGGCTCCGCATCATCGCTGCTGTGAGGAACGGCCGGATCGAAGCCAAAATTCATTTTCATAATGTCGCAAAACACAGACAGGTATATGAAGACATCAATAAAGTGATTGATGGTGAAGCCCAAACTTCGGTCCTTGGGATGATGCATATTGATCAGGGACTGAATGACCAGCAAAACTCCAGCAGCCACCTGTTTGCGAATGTAAGAACAAGTGCCATGCTTTAACATCAATTCATTTATTTATTTTGCTTTACAACTTAAGTTTACATTAGCCTTATAGTCAAGTATTTTGGTGTAAATCGTTGGATGTCGACTACATTCTAGGGTGTTTTTTCATGCTGATCGAGGAGTCTGAGCGGCTGCGACGAGTACTCTATGCCAAAACCGGATATGATAACGTTCACCACAGATATTATAAACACGACCACCAAAATGACGTCGTTCAGGATCACCGCCGCCGTTTGATCCTGCTGCTTGTTTATGTTGAGACTGCCGATGGCCACAAACAGAATGCCCACCAGAAGCTGTCGAAATGGATATGGAAATCGTTAGAACCGGATATTAAGCACATTTTAGTTCACGTTATTCAGAAATTCGCCCTGTGGCGGGGGCAGTCGACTATCAAATGCCGATATAAACAGATTTATCATCGTGGTGAAAAAGGCGAAACCCGTGCGCACATGGTTAATGATATTGGCCGACTGGTGGAACTCTGGTTGGTGCAGCCGACAGTCCCGCATCAAACTCAGGGACAGGCTCAGCACGCCCGACAGGACCTACACAGAGAAAAACACAAACATTTCAGTTCTGTATCCGTCAAGTGTAACTAAACTATGATGGATTGATGCATAGTCACATAAAAGGCTTTCACAAAAATTTATCATGATTTAATATCGATAAAAAAATGTATATATTTAATTGGATCCGAACTATAATTTAGATCTTAAGATGTTAATAATACATTTTTTAAAACTTTATTTATTTTTTTAATATTCCCTAAGCTCTTAAGAATTTTTCTAAAAAAACCATATAATACTCAAAAGCTAGTAGCTATTTTATTTTAATCTTCGCAATATTGACCAATCTGGTTGATTGTTTTTCTCTGTGCAGGACACTTAGAGAACTGGATAGAAAGTAGGGACTTCAGTATATGCTCACCTGCAGAACTATAGATAGGCTGATCAGGATCAGCATGAGTTTGTAGAACTGGTGCTGCTCGCCCACTTGGAGGATGTACTTCAGCTGGGAGGCGTTGGCGGTCAACAGGGCTATATCCAGCATACCCTGGGCAATCGTCTTCTTGGTGGCATAGCGATTGGCATCCATGGCTTTCATCTGAAACGTATAGTAAGAAATAGGTAAAGTATGTAAATAAAATTGAGAAACCAAAGGATACATTATCGAGGAAAGATGTCATGGTGCCGGTGCAATGGCCAGATTGAAAGTGACTGATTCTCGTAGATCGATTTCAAAGTTTGCCTTTATCTTTTGCCATTTATGTCGATCTTGTGCTGATAAGACAACACAACACCACAACTTCAACTAATGAAAAAATAGGCATACAAAAAGTTTACATTGGGGGCAAGGGTTACAAAAAATTAAACATAGAAAAACATGTAATAATTAATTATTTATATGATCAAAATAAAGTTAAATTTTACAAAATCTCTAAAATAATAACAATAAAATTTGATATCGTAAAATGTATTAAAAGAAGAATGTCTCTTAAAATCATTGCGTACCTGCCAAGCGTTTTTAATGGGTTTCTGCAAAAAACCAAGAGATTTAACTATACTACAAATAGCTACCAGGATAATTACAATTACAGAGTGTGTGATTGTTCATATAATTGTCATCACAATTAGAAAATCAATATGAGAACAGACAACCAACCGGTGGGAATTAAAATGCTTTTTCGCACAGCTCATCGGAGTTTTAAGGTGCATAAGGCAAACTAGTCGGGCATATATCATTTTTGAACTGCACGAACAACAACGACAATTACATGGGTTGGCAATTACGGGTGGAATAGAAATGGGGATATGGCGGTGGTGTGCCTCATTCGCTCGAATAAATAAATAATTCATGAACAGGAGTATAGGCGAAGATCAAGGTCAGTGTGTGAGCGGAATGTGAAAACACTTGAAATCATCTTCAGATTTTTTTTTGTGGACTCACTTCGTTTTCGTTTACCCGCTCCAAACCCGAAGCCATTATGTATGAATCTTTGGTTTGATTTCAATTTCAGCTTGGATTTCAGTCACACACCGATGCACTTCGGATGGGTTTGCAAAGTCCGACGAAACAAAAGAACTCAAAAACGGTCAATTCGCGTTGATTCGGTTTTCATTGTCTCCTCAAATTGGCCAACACAATTGTTGATACTTGGGGCTGGCGTTGTCGTGGAGACGGAGACGCTTAGCGACACAACCAAACAATTAAACAACTGACGGCGAACTGAAATATGTAGTTTCCAGCCCAGAGAGTTTCATTCGCGAATGAGTCGGGCTTTCGGTACACTTGACCATAAAAAGAGAGTGTTTTAAGCTGGAAAGAGTGTTTTCGAGTAGCCATGACTAATGACAGGAGCTTACTGGATTGAAAGTGTATTGATTGAATTTTAGGAAGCGGATGCACATAAACAGGGTTATCCCTAGCTTGAATCAGCACAGTTACATTTACTTATTCACTAAATTTTATTTAAGTTTATGAAAAAACAAACATTTTAGGGATGGCTTATCTAGCTTTGAAAAACCAACTTACAAATAAATATAAGGAACGAATTTTGTAACTATTTTTTGAGTTATGGACAATGCTAAGAACTTAATAAAGTATTCAATTTTCAAAACAAAACTGTTTAAAAAACTCCTTATTCTTTTTTTGATGTTTTAAAAACAATTTTTTTTTAGGTAAAAGGTAAAGTTATGTAAAAATCAGCTAAGCAGAACTGGTAATAAAAATTAATGTAGGCTTGAAAACAGCTGAAAATCGTTAATTACCATATACAAAAATGGAAAATCAAACATTCATCTCTAAAAAATTTCGTCGATTTTATTTTGCAAGCTAGAGTAATTTTTTTAGTATATTTAGTCCATAATAGAGCCCTATAATGGCTTAGATTAAATCTTAAATATCATGTAGGCTTTGAATTAGCTGCTCTTGGCTTCCTTACAGTTTAGTAGAACTTTAAAATAGTTTTTGGGTTGGAGTTGCAACAGAAACACACTTTAGAAAATATACAAATATTCATATTTCTTAAGAATTATTTTGAAAAAGAGTCATGGAATTTCCTATACCAGAGGCGCAGTATTGGGACGTTTCAAAAAAGTCCCAGAAAGATCGTCAGATAATTCGGAAGTTTGTTCCGGATGCCGTCAACCTGTCCACAATAAGTCCTGGCGAGATCTACCGGATTGACACATTCTATTTGGAGTGTCAGAAGTACCGGGATCACTATCGTGACCCCTATGGCAAGGTGCACTGTCCACCGTTCTTCCACTTGCACAAGGGAAAGTGCGGAGTCAAACTGGACCAGACGCTGGCCCAGATGACACAGGCGGTTGCCGCAAATGTGGACAGGCAGCCATTCGTGTTTCCCCTGGTTCCGAACAAGAGCATGTTTCTGGGCGGCAGTATTCGAATGGGGGCACAGACATCCCCAACTGGCGTCACTAGCTTCCTGAGATGATGTATTTGTAAAATTCGCTTTGCAATACACATATGTACTTTAACAATAACATAAATATATGCTGCGGTAATTGTTAAGAACTACAGCTTTCTTGGGTAAAACTCTACTACCCATTGATAAATCTTATTTAATTACAATAGCTGTTGATTTATTCTTTATGAGTTGCGCTGGGAAATAACCATCCGTTTTATACATTTTAGTACTTTATTTTCTAGGCTGGGAAAGCAGTTTTTCAATAAATAGCATTTTAAATACTTTGCGCCCATTTATGCGTAAAACGTACACAATAGTTTTGAATTTCTGGGGTACTTGATGTTAGCTGACACAAGGATTTGATATACATTTTAATTAGCCTTTTACAACTGGCGTTTAAGCTAACACACTAAAAAGTCTTTCTGTGCACGGCTTTCTGCCCCTCTTCCTCGTATTCCCGCTTCGAAATCCACATCTTCTTGAAGGTATCAAGCGAGGCTAAAATCGATCCGCCCATCCATGTGGAGTACAGTCGTTCCTGAGGCGCGGCGATCTGGTAAGACATATTCGTGAGTTCAGGAACTACACAAAGACATATTGTTGGTTTATATATATTACCCTGATCTTGAGATCCTTGGCCGAGTGCTTCTTGAGTTCGGACAACAGGCGGTCGCCGAAACCCTTGAAAAGTGTGGATCCGCCCGAGAGGACGATGTTCTGGTAGAGCATTTTCCTGAGATCCATATCCGACTTTTCGATGGAGTACATCAGAACGTCGTGTATGCCCTCGCACTCCTCGCCCAGCAGATCGGGGCGGAAGAGTACCTCCGGCGCCCTGAAGCGGGCCGGTCCGATCTCGAAGGTCTTGCCGTCGGGCAGCTTGTAGGCGAATTTCTCGGTCTCCACCGCCTCCTCCTTTTGCGGGTTGGTGGCCAGGTAGCAGACCTTCTCCTTGATGGAGCGCACAATCTCAAATTCGGCTGTCGACCGGAAGTTGAAGCCCTCCCGGCGGATGAGTGTCTTCAGGTAGCGTGTCACATCGCGCCCGGCGATGTCCACGCGCATAATACTGTGAGGCATGGCGAATCCCTCGTAGATGGGGACCGCATGCGTCACACCGTCGCCGGAGTCGAGCACCACACCAGTCACGCGTCCGGTGGCATAGCTGCAATTGAATGGTTAGGTGCAACTGACTGCTCGACTTCCAGGGAATGCAATGCTTACAGACTGAGCACCGCCTGCATGGAGACAAAGAGCGCAGGTGCATTGATGCCTTCGAAGAAGAACTCGGCGGCCTTCTCGCGATTGCGGCGCGGATTAAGCGGGGCTTCGGTCAGCAGCACGGGATGGTCCTCCGTGAAAGTGGCCAGTTGTTCCTGGTTATTAAAATTCGCAGGGGTTAATCAAGGAATAAGGAGGAATGGTGGCGTCGTTACTTTGCTGTAAATGTAGCTCCATATCCGCTCCATGTCGTTCCAGTCGGTGACAATACCGTGCTCCATGGGATACCGGATGCTGAGCAGACCACGGTGTTCCTCCGCCTTGGGACCAACGAATATGTCGCCCTCCAGGGCGCCAGCCATCACCCGGACATGCTTGGGCCGGCCAATGCTGCAGGAGATGCAATCAATTAGAAGGTTTCGAGGGACTTGCCTCTTTCAGGGCACTTACTAATTGGGGAACCTGCATTTTGGAATGTGCTCGCCAGCAAAGCCGGCTTTGATCACACCGGAGCCCTGCAAAAAGCGATGGCAAATACATTTAGTGGGCTGTGATAATACAGTTCTTTACATTATAAATTACGGGTGAAAGGAGAGCAAGTCTAAATTGAATGAAATGGAATCCTACAGTGTGCCCGAAGTGGACATGATGACCGTGTCCAAGAACTCGCAGTACGAGCGGGAGTGGCTCCTGAAGTTCGCCCCGCCAGTTGGACTGACCAACATCAGCTACGGCGGCATGTACAAGGTGGACTCGTTCTATCTGGAGTGCCAGAAGTACCGGGATCAGTTCCGTGACCCCTACAACAAGCTCCTGCGCCCCAAGATGTTCGCCAAGTACCGGGGCAAATGCGGCATCAAGATTGATCCCGAGCTGGAGCAACTGAAGCGGCCCGCTGCCTCGCATGTGGAGCCCATTCCGGTGGTGTACCCGATGGAGTACGGGCGGCAGATGGACTTCGACAGGGGTTTCCGGATGGAGGGCAGGAACAGCAGGGACAGCGCCACCGCCCGAAGATATCCGTGTGTGCGTGTGGTGGGCAGGTAAAAGCCTCCTGGGAACACCTTTCGAACAAAATTGCCCGTTTCACGTTCGATTTCTCGCAAATGGAACCATCTTTGGTGACTGCCCAGTTCTTGTTTCCCGGATTAGTCATGTTGGCCATTTGAAGACGGCTTGAAAGCTCACTGACAAAGGGACGGGCGGTAGGTGATGTCACTATTTGCTGGCCAAACGCTTGGAATTTGCTGTTCCGCCCCCGTTTCCTTGATTTCATTGCCCCCCACTTCCACTTACGTTATCTATGACGACGGGCTGGTTAACGACGACATCATAAGGCTCCATTTTGTGCGTTTATCAAAATTTGCAAATTTTCTATTTAATAGTTGGCCAGCAGGGTGACCGTATGAGGTTTGCTGAAATAAACCAAGGGTGAAAAAATACATGGTCGGTATATTACAAAAGATGTCCTAAATATGCCTCCATACAAAATAAATTTATATGGTCTATACTTTTTAAATTATAAAACCAATCATAGTTAGTTAATAAATTATAATAAGTTCACCGGAAACAGCACCTGAATAATTATCTCAAACTTTCTCAGTCAATAAAATAAAATAAAAGGTAAGAAAATAGACAAACTATAAACAAATAATTTGAAATTTAAAGGCAAATAATTTGAAATCAAAAGTAAATAATTTGAAATTAAATGTAAATATTTTGAAATCAAAACAAAACACAAGCTTAAAGCCTCCCTTTTTTAGTTACTTAATTAAATTACGTTAATTTTATCTTTAATACGTGGTTTGGGTATTGGCTAAAATGTTTTGCACAGTTCCATTGGTATATTTGAACGGACTGGGTGCGGTCACACTGACTACAATGGCCGAGGCGAATGTGGACAAAAAACCGGAGGTGAAGCCACCGCCGGGCCTGAAGGCCATCATTGACCACCTGGGGCAGGTGTATCCCGAGCAGCCCAACCCGCTGCAGGTGACCACGCTGCTCAAGTACTGGCTGGGCGGGCAGGACCCGCTCGACTACATCAGCATGTACAACTATCCGGGGGACGCGGACAGGAACATTCCGCCGCACTGGCACTACATCAGCTTCGGGCTGAGCGACCTGCACGGCGACGAGCGCGTCCACCTGCGCGAGGAGGACTCCACGCGGTCGGGCATGGGCTTCGAGCTGACCTTCCGCCTGGCCAAGACGGAGGCGGAGCTAAAGCAGCAGATCGAGTTCCCGGAGAAGCCCCAGCGTCCGCCCACCTGGCCGGCGAACCTGCTGCAGGCCATCGGACGCTACTGCTTCCAGACGGGCAACGGCCTGTGCTTCGGCGACAACATCCCGTGGCGCAAGAGCCTGGACGGGAGCGCCAGCTCCAAACTGCAGAGCCTCCTGGTGGCCCAGGATCCGCAGTTGGGATGCATTGAGACGCCCACCGGCACCGTGGACTTCTGCCAGATCGTCGGCGTCTTTGAGAATGAGCTGGAGCAGGCCTCGCGCTGGAACGGACGCGGCGTGCTCAACTTCTTGCGCCAGGATGTGCAGACGGGCGGCGACTGGCTGGTGACCAACATGGAGCGGACCATGAGTGTGTTTGAGCTGTTCCCCGAGACGCTGCTCAACCTGCAGGACGACCTGGAGAAGCAGGGCTCCGATCTGGCCGGCGTCAATGCCGAGTTCACCTTCCGCGAGCTGAAGCCCACCAAGCAAGTGAAGCAGGAGGTGGACTTCGCGGCGCTGAGCGAGAAGTGCGCCAACGACGAGAACAACCGCCCGCTGACGGAGACGCAAATGAAGCGCGAAGAGCCGAGCTTCCCGCAGTCCATGTCGATGAGCAGCAACTCGTTGCACAGGTCCTGTCCCCTGGACTTCCAGCCGCAGGCGCCCAGCTGCATCTCGCTGGACGGCATTGAGATCACCCTGGCGCCCGGCGTGGCCAAGTACCTGCTGCTGGCCATCAAGGATCGCATACGCCATGGGCGGCACTTCACCTTCAAGGCGCAGCATCTGGCACTCACCCTGGTGGCTGAATCCGTGACCGGCGCGGCGGTCACCGTCAGCGAACCGTACGGCGTGCTGGGCTACTGGATTCAGGTTCTCATCCCCGACGAACTGGTGCCCCGCCTCATGGAGGACTTCCGCAGCGCGGGCCTGGACGAGAACTGTGAGCCCAAGCAGCGGCTGGAGCTGGAGTGGCCCGACAAGAATCTGAAGCTGATCATCGACCAGCCGGAGCCCGTGCTGCCCCACGTTCTGCCCATGTCCCTCGACGACGCTCCTCTGAAAATGTGAAGCCGTCGAGCGCCTAGCTAGTATTATTTTTAAATTAATCGAATTGAATCTTCCACTAACAAGTAAGTTATATATACATTTATACGTTTCATCTAACACAATGCACGTGGCCTTTGCTCCGCGCCGGAGTCCAGTCAAAATATACATACATATACAAACCCAAAAACCACTCGACGGGCTTTTGATCCGCCGTTGCAAAAAGAGGAAGCGCCGGCGCCAGGAGCGAACAATTCGCCGGATGAGTCACTTGGGCTGGTCTTCTTTGGTGGCTGCGGCGGATATGGCCACTTGCCGGCCACCAAGTCAATGCCACCTCCTAAGCCACCAATTGATGGCACTGCGCAGTGGCCAAGCAGCATGCTTCAGTTTCTAATTCTCGGAATTGATCAATTATAGTGGAGGAGTATTCAATTTGCACACAAATATCCATTCCTTGATCATGTGATTTGAATGGAACTGAAGCTATAGCTGGAACTGAAGCTGGAGCTGAAGCCGGAGGAGCTGCATCATCTGGTTGGCTGGGAAACGTTTTAGCGCTCCGTTTGTTATTGTATCTATCTTCGCCGTTGCCTAGGTGAATTTTGTTTACCGCAGAGAACGCCACCGCTGTGGTCTCTGTCTGATTAGAGGCGCCTTAAGTGAGCGAACGAATTTTTGCAAAACAGCTCGTGGAAAATAATTCAGTTTTCTTCATTCCGCCGCCGACGACGCAAGCGCTCGGTTGTGTGCTCGCTCGAGAGGTCTCCGCCCGTCCACTTATCGCCGCCACCGCTCCTCGAATCGCGCTCGTGTGCCGGATTGACGGACTCCCCAGAGTCTTCAAGTGAATCGGACGTCTTCGACTGGAGTTCCGGCTTAAAAGTACGTAGAGAAGGAAGGACCTTAAAAGAGGTCTCACCAGGGTTCAGCCACCCACCGGCAATTGCATAACGGCCCGCCCATCGACCGCTGACCTTCGATTTTGGCAGTGACCCCCACACCGTGGGATTGGGTCTGGGACTGGGTGCAGTGCGTCGTCATCGCGTGGGCACGTGCACGCCGTTTGATAGCGCGAACTTTTGCGATAGCCGCCAAGAACGAATGAATTAATTGTTTAGGCGAGCGGCTCGCATTACATTGAGTTTTCGCTACTGCGGTGCGGTTTTTCGGCGGTTAAAAGAAAACGTTTGCAGAACACCGCATGGCGATGAACCGTAGACCCACCTCGAATCCCCTTACCCCCCATCTCCCATCCCCCATACGAAGTGCACTCGACAAGGGCATGCATATTTGAGAAATGCGACAAATTTCAGTTATCGCTTGTAATGCAATCTGTTCTCCGCAGCTCAAAAATGCATTACAATGTTGCTGTCGCAGGTATAAAGAAGTGAAATCGGAATCGAGCGTCTTTCTACGATAACTTGGTGTTTGAAACCACAAAATGATATCTTTGGTTATTAATTTGAACCTGTTAGCTAATGAAACCCTAGATTGTTATTGTTCTTTGGTTATTCAGTTCCGCAGTCTGATTGAATTTAAAAATTCTATAGTTTTTGGAGTGCTACTATATAAAAAAAAGAGAGTGGAAGTTTTCTAAAAATAAGAAATTATTTATTAAAATTTAACAAAAAGGTATATTTATTTTTTTATATTTGGCATTTTATAAATTAATTGAATTTTCTTTTTTTTTTTATTAATAAGTAAAGGTATAGGGTTAAGAACACTAAAAACTTTCATGACTTCCATAAAGGTTTATTATAACAACTATATTATACCTTAAATTTGTCTGTGGATAGATCTAGTTATCTCGCTAAAAGCCACCACTTTCCAACGTAACTTTCCCTTAGATTTCGCTCCCTTGAGAATTGCTTTGTCTCCTGTTTAGTTGGATTCTGGATGGGCGACAATATAAACTGCATTCCCATTTGCCGGGGGCGCAAACAGCGATAAACGTGGCCAAATATTTGGCTAGCCAATTCCGACTGTCTGTGATTATTTTCCGGGATGGGGAAATAGCAGCGTTTGGGCAGGCGGCAGTCCACAGTCAACAGCATATTTGGGTGCAATGTGGCTGACTGATTACGGAGGGCACCCACACTGACTTGATGTGTAATTGCAGGCAGCACTCGCAACCAGGAGGATTCGTAGCCAGCCGTCAGTAGCCAGCAGCCAGTAGCTATTAGCCATGGCCGAGAATGAGCCGCTGAACGAGCAGCAGGGACAGGTGAATGGTCGCATCCTGCCCGCCAATGGACACACTGCTCCGCTGACCAATGGCCAGGTGCATGCCAACGGCAAGGATCCGGCAGTGGCAGCTCAGAACGGGCACGCAAACGGGAACGGGACACACATCGAGGCGCCCTGCTGTCGGGACATTCACGGCAAGGAGCCGCCGGACGGAGGAGCCCGCGCCTGGCTGGTCATGGTGAGCGCCTTCCTCTGCAACGGCATCATCTTCGGGTTCATCAACACGTACGGCGTCATCCACTCGCTGCTGAGCGACCGGCTCAACAAACTCGGGGATCCGGAGGCCTCCAGCAAGGCGGGTAAGTCTTAGTTTCTTGCTCCCTCGCCCCAAAAGTGACAGCAATCTGTCCATAATCCCAATCCCTTCAGCCCGCGGCAAATGAGTTCTGAATTTACGACCAGTTGCTGGCGTTGATTGTAATTATGCAGGCGGGGCAATGGAGATTAGATGGGAACTGGACAGTTGTTTTGCAGGCGGACTATCTGTTCCAGCAACCTCTATAAAACAAATCAAATTCCGTGGCCTTTGATTGCTGCCCGGGGGGCCTGTGACTTTGATTTAAATATTGACCAGAAAAAAACATTTCATTTGCGTTCTTTAAGATTGATAATATTTCAAAATCTTGCTAATATAAATTTCATTAATTTCGGTCATAGAAGTCATGTGCTGACGCCATTGAAAATGAATTGTCAATATTATTTTAGAAAGTTTTTATTATTATTCAGATTTATTATACTTCGAATCTAACGGACATTCGACCATGTCAACGCACATTGCCGCTGGTGTTGTGGGCTTTTGGGTTCAATAAAACCCAACGTAGTTGTAGTACGTAGTAGAAGTGACGATATAGGAATCCAACGTAGCGACGTCAAGTGAATTAAATTGCTAAAAGTTGATTGGATCACAAAGCATTATTCAACAGCCGGCGGGTGCGAAGAGCGCAAAGACGACGACGTCCAGAGATGGGGACTACTCCCTTAGAGTTGCAGCTGGATGGTATTTTGGCAGCTCAGTTCCTGGACCACTCCAAACCAGACGCATCTGCTTTGTGGTTGCTGTTGGTCTGTTGGTCAAGGTTTGCTGGCCGGCCTGCATTACGCATACGCAGCGTGGGTCGGCAAACGCATTGGGGGCACGGCCGGCGCTTTTAAGACGAGCCGCCAAGAAGTGGCCAGCAAAAGACTAAAAACACAAAAAAAAAAGACAAAAATACAAAAAGACAAAAGCCAGCAGGCAAAAGTGACCCAGTTACTTGGTCGGCCGGCGCTGCCAGGGAAGCCTCTCAAATGCTCCGCCTGACAGCGATCCTCCTTCAAAGCTAGGGCTAGCTCTGGGCTAGAGCTAAAGCTAAAGCCAGAGATGGCTGGCAGTTCCGCAATATGATTAAAACCTGACGTAATCCGAACCTGAGCTCTGTGTGCCATATTTTTTGCCCACTTTTATCGCGGTGTCGATTCATCAATTAATTGTCAGCCTTTGTCAATTACACACACGTCCATGGGCACAGGCACATCAGAGCGACTTAGTGGAGAAGCTCGGAGGCGCCATTCGGTGTCCCATCGGTTCATCCGTGCGCAAACGGAGGTCAAGATCAATCATCCGATCGACTGCCAATCTTTGGCAAATCCCCCTGCATATTGCATCAGATATACATATAACATTATCGCATCGGGTTGCCATCTATGCATATGAGGCATACTATAAATATGCCTATCTATTTTCGCCACAGACGCCATGCGGTGCCATGTAATTCGGCAAAGTTCCCTTCCGTTCACATTTCTTTTTTAAATTTTTTGGCACCGCCTCCGTTTTGTGTTGTTGCACGGGGAATGGGCACGGGCATATTATCTAATGGCTCTCCTCGCAGCTCTCGAGCGGATTGCCATTGACTGGCTGCGAAGAGAGCATCGTCGGTGGCATTGACATTGACTGCCTGCCGTTTGCCGAGATTGCGTAGAAGCATTCTGCGCATGTGGGGGAGAAATACGTGCCATTTCACGGCCCCATTCCCCAGTTGGCCATAGCAGCGATAGTAGCCATTGTAGCCATGTCTCAGCGAATGCCCAATAAATATCCACGAAGCATCCAGAGTGGGTCAAGTTCTATTTTGGGTTAATGCGCTGCAGTTTTTCAGTTCTATGTTAGATGTGGTTACACCTTAATATTCACCATTTATAAGATACTTTCATGTATCAATTACAATTATGTGCTTATTTATACATATTAAATATTTACCATTATTTACAATTATTTCGATTTTCTAATTAAATTACCGATCGTTTCTATAGCAGCTATATTGTCCGGTTTTTATAAATTTATTCTAAAATAGTAATCATTTTTTATATTTTATTTTTTCGGACTATCTCGAATAGCAATAATACTTTCTGAAAGTCTAGTTTACATAGAAACAGACAGATGGACATGGCTAGATCGACTCTACTAGTGATGCTGATCAAGAATACACATATATACTTTATAGGGTTGGAAATATCTCATTCACTTTTCATTGACATTAAAATAAAATACCCAATGTAAAAGTGTACATAACCAAAATGTCCTATGTGAAAGTGAATTAAATGAAAAAAACATAAACATCTTCAGGTTAAGGGTCAAGGGAGGTTAGATCCCGGCTATTTATAAACAGCACTTATGAATGGCATACGCAGGCACTTTAGAGAGCAGATTGTGACAATAAATTCGTACAGACACGCGAGCTCAATCGAATGCTTATCTGTAGTTCCGGCCTACAATTTGATAGTCACTGCGATTGTGGTTCCCAAATCCGCTTTGTTTGCGGTATAATAAAGCCATAAAAACAGTGTACAAATTGGAACTTTAAAGTTTAGTTTTATAGTGCGTACCAAAATTGATAATTTCAAAATGTAACAAAATCGGAGATTTGGGTGATCTCCATACCTGCTTTGGTCCACTGTGCATGTTCGAGACAATGGACCAAAGCCGCTGGAGAGACTGCAGCTGCTCATCTGCCGGAGAATCGAACCTTATCGGAGCATTAGATCATCTTCGCAGGCGGGGAACAAAGAATTAACCTGAATCTGTCAGTCGAGCATCGATTTGAAGTGCCAAAGTAGAACAAGCGAAAGTGTTTACGCAACGCAAACAATTGGATTCCCCCACTGCTGCCCGCAGAGTTCAGCGGAAAATTATTGACGACGAAAATCCAATCTTCAAATGGCAAGCGACAAGATGCGAACGCTCCTCGATCCCGCCAACCGCCAACGGATCGGGTTTCCAGACCAAGCTCCTCGATTCGAGGCAGTCGGGCTCCCACCTGGAAGTCGCACCGAAACACCTGGAACTGGGGCCAATCTCCAGACATGCACTACATCGCCTCACTTCACAATCAACCGCAAGTGCGTGAGATTCGATTTGTCAAATGAAATGTGTCCGGATAAGTCAAGCAGACTTTTGGTCAGATAGTTTGCCAAAGAGAAGTATCAAATGGAGTAGGTTTTCATAAACGGATTATCCTCGAAAGAGCATGGACCGCAAAATAGTCATTCTTTTTTTTTTCTGTAAAGACAAATTGTAGAAAAAAACCCAAATTTATCAGAATACTACTTATGAATCAAATAATATTGTTTTTAATTTTATTGAAAACCTAAGGTATAATTTTTATTAATTGAGTTTTATATAAGTTACAAAAATAACGAACGTTTAATTTTAATTTAATTTTAGCTCTACAAATAATGATTTTTCTCTGAGATTTATTTTTAACTTGCCCAAAAGTTTTAATTTCTAATCAAAGAATAAAACTTAATATTAAACCGGATTTCGGTTTAGTGAACAAATAATCGTTTTTTGACACTTTCATAAAACCTGAATAAAAACTGTTGATAGAAGAGTAATAAGTAAAACTCCAAAATGAATATTCGAAAAGTATTTTTTTAACAACACTTATCATGAGCTTTAATGCAATATAAAACACTATTGAGAAATATTTGTATATACATATATCCTCTAAAACCGCATTGAATAAATAAATACATATATTATTTTTTAAAGAGTACATACACTTAAGCCTACTTAATAGTAGAGTTGTGATTAATTAACTAATTTTCTGATGCATGACTCATTTGATTAAAAATAAAAACAAGTAATGCAAACGAAAAAAATGTTCCATAAAGGTCACGACCATAGTTCTCGACCATATAGTTCCCTACCATATAGGTCCGTGGGTCACTGTCTTCTAAAAATTTACGTGACGAACATATTGAAGCCTATTCTACTTTGTTTTTACGATTAGAGCTATTTAAATAGAATTTAATTCTATAAAATAATTTATAAGATGAAACAGGAAAGCACAGCAGAAACACACTGTTGGTTCACGCGAAGCTTTATCATGAGAACTAAATACGTTTAACTGTAATAAAAAAGAAAATAAAATAATATTGCCTTAAGAGATTATAAGCCGAAAACATTGCATCACAGAAAAATGCATATATATTTTGAACATTTTTACGAATGAGTAAATAATTTCATATTTATTTATAGATAAGCTGCGTTTAAAGAGCACACACCCAAGAGAGTCCATATATTTAGTAACTCTGATTAAACAGTACATTTTTAATGGTTGCACCCTGGCTTTATTGCAGCTCTGATCGGATCCCTGGCCATCGGCACCACATTCCTCTTCTCCACAGTGGCCGGCTGCTTGACGGACAAGATTGGACTGCGGCTGACCACGTTCGCCGGCGGAGTGCTCTCCGCGGGAGGACTGCTGCTGTCCTCGTTCTGCACCGAGAACATCGGTGCCCTGTACTTCACCTACGGGATCATGTTCGGCCTGGGTGCGGCCCTGGCCTACACGCCCACCCTGGCCATCCTGGGCCATTACTTCAAGCGCTATCTGGGCAAGGTGAGCGGCTTCGTGACCGCCGGCTCCAGCGTCTTCACTGTGATACTGCCACCCTGTCTGGACAAGCTCCTTGGCGTCTATGGCCTGGAGGGCACTTTACGGGTAAGTAAAGTCAACATACCTCTTTTCCCTTTTGATATACTAATTGCTATCTGTCTGTCTGTCTGTTTTCTGTTTTCCAGATAATGAGTCTCGTGTCCGCCTTCATCATCCTCTGCTCCTTCGTTTACAAGCCGCTGCATCCGCCACCGGAGCCACCGAAGAAAAAGCCCGGAAGGTCGCGCATCAATCTCTTCCTGCGCTCCATCGTCAACGTGGAGATCTGGAAGCGCAAGCGCTTCGTCATCTGGGCGCTCTGCGTGCCGCTCGCCTTGTTCGGCTACTTTGTGCCCTACGTCCACATGATGCAGTTCGTGAAGACCACGTTCCCGGGCGAGGATGTCAACCTGCCGGTCATGTGCATCGGCATCACCTCCGGCATCGGAAGGCTGATCTTCGGCGTGATTGCCGACATGCCCGGTGTGAACCGCATGTACCTGCAGCAGCTGTCGTTGGTGTCCATTGGCCTGGTCACCCTGCTGCTCCCGCTGACCAACTCGTACGTGGTCCTTGTCTCGTTCACCCTGGTCATGGGCCTCTTCGACGGCTGCTTCATCTCGCTGCTGGGCCCCATTGCCTACGAGATCTGCGGTCCGTCGGGTGCCACGCAGGCCATCGGCTTCCTGCTGGGCCTCAGTTCCATTCCGCTGACCGTGGGACCCCCGGTGGCGGGCATGATCTTCGACAGCACCAACTCCTACACCCTGCCCCTGATTCTAGCCGGGCTGCCCCCACTGCTCGGCTCCTCGCTGCTCTTCCTCATCAAGTGCGTCAAGGAGGAGGAGAAGGGGATCAGTGCGCCGCGAGCGGTGGTCATGGCCAACGGAGACATCGAGATTGCCGGCAACGGCCATTATCGGTCGGATGGTAAGCTATACATTACTTAAAAACTTTAGGATTCGTCCTTAAAAATTTAAACATTTGAACAAAAAATGATTTGGATAGAAATGTTAAGAGTAAAAGGATATATTGGGTTCGTTGAAAAGAGAGTAACAGGAAGAAGTATATATATTTTTGATCAGGTTTTGTCTGTCCGTCTGTATAAACGTCGAGATCAGATAACTATAAAAGCTATTGATTTGGGATTTTAAATGCAGATACTAGTAATTTTATCGCAGCGCAAGTTTATTTCACGAAACTCTGACATATTACTCTGAGATGGTACTCATGTCACTCTGTATATTATATTCGATCATATCTATCGAAAGACACATTAATTTTCAAAATCGAACCCTTATTTTAGAACTTATTAGCAAAAATTTTGAAAATACAAGGTGCACTCATAGCTCTTAGTAGAAATTCATTAATATATGTAGATATCTTAATGAGCGCTTTTGGAGACTTATATTTTGTAATAATATATTGAATATAATGGTAAATTGAGTATATTGTTTTGTCTACAATATTTTTAAGGAGAACAATATTAATTCGATATCAAATTCCAAGTTGGTAAATTAATGCAAATACAGTTATGAATAATGATGATTAAGCGATAGGATCATTCATCGCTTCATCATAATTATTCATGACTTTTAATAGATAAGCAACTTAAAAAGTCAAAGAAAACAGTCATAATAAGAAGTTTATCAAATAACATATAAACATATTTATGTTAATTTTAGAAGAGAAAACTTGTTTTATGTTGAACACTTTTTAAATCCCTATTTTTAACCCAAGTGATATTGAAATGCTTTGTTGGTTTTTTCCGCAGGCTCCAAGTCCAGTGCACCGTTGATGGGTGCCAGTAATGGTGGATCCCATGGAACCGGCGATGCGACCCCTAGGATCCAGAGCAACGGACACGTGGACAGCGGAACTGGTGCGTACCCCGACTCACCTTGGCCTAGCCCCACTCGCATCTCAGACTCCGCCGCCTGCGACCATCCCAGTAGCTCGCTTCACACTAACCCGGGCGCCCATGCGCCTCCCAGCTGCTCTCACACCGCACTGCTGGGCCGGGGCTCCAGCTACAGCTCCAGCTCCAGTCCCAGCATGTCCCTGCCCCTGACTGACGACCCCAAGCGGCGTCGCTATACCTATTCCATCTACTAACCCACTGCCTAAATGCTAGCTGCTAGAATCTCTCTGCTTCGCCTGCTGTAAGCCCTCTCTTGGGCACTTGCCGCCTTCTGGGTATCTTGGTGTGAATCGCGTGTGTAATCGAATAGCATGACTAAGAGCACTTCACCATCCCACGTCTCTAACCCTGCACCAGCACCAGCACTCCCATTTCCATTCCCATTCCCATTGCGTCCAAAATGCTTTGTAGATCGTAAGATCGTAAGACTTGCTGTTGTAAATAAATGCCAGCCTATGTCTCATACAACTCGTTGCGTGTTCCGGAGTCATCGCATGGGCAGGCGCAAATCCTTCGACCAGAAACCACTCTCAACTCAATTATCCTGTGCATCTTTCAGGGAAACTCGCCGTGACCAACGGATCGGCGTCGTAGGGAGACAGTCGTCGCAATAACTCAAAATTCCACAAAACTTTCGAAATTTCGAAACCAATTGAAAAGTTCTGCCATTTTCAGCTGTAATCTCGTCGTCGGAGGCCAAACAGCTTAGCCAGCGCAAAATCGAGGTGTTCATTCGTTTTATAAACCATAGCTACCGCACATGTCTCCAAACATATGCCCATTCATCGGATCGGATCGGATCGGATGAGATGCCGATGTCTGTGCTCCTCTCCCATCCTTCATGTGTGCATAATGTACCTAGGCTAAGGCGATTTCGCAAAACCAAATAAACATAATATTTTAATTTTTAGTAAGAAAGTGGTGCTGACTTTTTAATTTTTGAAAGCCTAAACTGTTTGGTATTTTAGAAAAAAAACAACAAGGATTATTTCACCAATTTTATGCTTGATGTTTAAACAAATTGATGGCTAGAAAAGTTGGGGAATACGCGTAATATTGACTCGTCATATTTTTTAATGGCCTAAACTCCGAATCGATAGCGAATAGGTTAATGTTTTTTATCCGTGAATGGCTCACAGGTTGAGGGGCTATTGTAGCATTAATTATTTTAATATTTGGGTCTCCAAACTATGCCACGTGCCATCCCGGGAGCCCCGAGAATCACGGGATCAAGGGTATGAGTTTGGAGGATTTTTTTGTTTGATTATACAACGCAAGTGATCGGAAACCGATCCATGACGTAGTGAACTCGCATTGCCCAATTCGCATTCGCGAAGTGTTTGGCATGTCATCACTGGCCATTAGTTGAAATTATAGCTATTTGTATGCGCGCCTTCCATGTCGGACCCAATAAAAAAAAAAAAAAAAAACGGCGCGCTATGTGCGGTCCAATGGGTCTCCCGCCAGTGGCCCCGTATCCAGTGGCTCTTTCTTTCTTTCGCCGAGAGGAGAGTCGACCAGGTCGATCGATCGATCGCTATCGCTATTGCTATTGCTACCGCTGAGCCGTAAGCGTGACAATAGATCGTTCGCCTCCCAAAGCAGGCAACACGTCCGGCGTATAAAAAGTCGATTGACGGAAAATTGGGCAATCAAACTGTTGGCGCACTTCAAACCGATCGGTCGAAAATCGTTAACTGCACTCGATACTCAACAGGGACAAGGATTACCCAACCATGCTGACCTGGACCCTCTGGTGCGGATTACTATTCCTGCTGTGGTTCTATTTCCTGTGGAGCCGGCGTAGGTTCTACCTGCTCGCGCTCAAGATCCCGGGGCCACTGGGATACCCCATTCTGGGCATGGCCCACTGGCTGATGAACAGGGAAGGTGTTGGCGGATTTCGTGGATTACTCAACTGATCGGCAGTACTAATCGTGGTCTCCCTGCGCAGATATCCTCAATGCCTTCGGCTGCTTTCTGGACAAGCACGGACCGACCATCTTCTCGTGGCTCGGACCCATTCCCTTCATGATAGTCAGTGATCCGCAGGTTGTGCAGGACATCTTCACATCGCCCCATTGCGTCAACAAGGGCATCATTTACAAGGCCGTGGACGATGGAGCGGGCATTGGATTGTTTAGCATGAACGGTGTGTGTGATTGGAATTAAGTGTTTGACTTACTTAATCGTGGATTTCGGTAGATCCACGTTGGAGCATCCATCGAAAACTGTTGAACCCCGCCTTTGGCCATAAGGTTTTACTCAGCTTCCTGCCCATTTTCAACCGGGAGACGGCACTTCTGCTGGATCAACTGAAACCATTGCAGGACGATGGAGAGAAGGACCTTGTTCCACTGCTGCAGAGCTTCACTTTGGGCATAGCCACCCGTGAGTATAGAAACTAACTGATTGAGGGAAGTAGGAAATTGTATTTTTTCAAAAATATAAACCCATCGAAACAATCACCTATTGTTTTCACTTACTAACTGTAAGGTTTTTTTGTTTATCTAAAATTAGTTAAATAAATAAGTTTGCCCTAATTATTCTCAAACAGAAAACCAGATGATCAGAAATAATACTTCTTTTAAAGAAATTTCTTATCAGTTTCGTTTTGATACTTAACGTTTCGTATTTAATATGTTCAAATTGAAAGAGAAAGCTAAAAACTATTTTTTTAAAAGCAATTTTACATTGGTCAATAAAAAAATTGAAACGTGACTGTTAACCTGTGAATATCAAATTAATACTGGCTATTATTTTATTTGTTTTTGTTTAAACTAAATATGCATTCATATTCTAAAATTTAATGGACTATTTATACACTAGTAAAAAAATATATTTTGTACTCAATTTAAATACTTTTCCTTTGGTTTTTAGTTATTTTAAGTATGAACATAATAAAATTTCTTTAAATATTTCCTTTGAATATTTTTGAAATATATTTTAATATCTTAAAAATTTAGTTTAAATTTAAACCATATTTCGATTAACTAAAATGTATTTAAATCAAACAGGAACTATTTTAAATCTAATATGTTCGCCAGTAATTTAAGTATTTAATATTAAATTATATAGTTTAATACGCATATTTAATTTTGAATTTGATAGTCAGGTATTTATTTTTACTATTACATTTTTTATCAGTGTATTTAACTATATTCACAAGTCTCTTATTTATTATGTTATATATCAATAGAAACTACCATGGGCAGTGATGTGAGGAGCGAGGAAAACTTGATGAGCAAGTCCCTGCTGGACCGATACCAATGGTGAGTGTTGAGCTGTACCCGGACTGCTTCTATCCATTAATAGTATGTTGGAAACTATGACAGACATGTGCTTCTCGCCGTGGCTCAACAGCCGATTTGTTCGCCAGCTGCTGGGCAGGGAGTCCCACTACTACCAGGCCAAGACGGAAATTCGCCAGTTCATCAGGAAGGTGATGATAAAATGTTTAATATAATTATCAATAAATTAATTAACCACGGACTACTTTCAGCTCATTGAAAAGAAGTTGGCCGCAGACCAAAAAGAAACACAACCTGCCATCAAATCAATCGATAAGAATATATTTCTTAACCTGGCCACGGATTTGCTGAGAAGGGGAGTGTTCACCTGGAGAAATGTCGAGGATGAGTCGAACATCATTGTTTTTGGAGCCTTTGAGACCACTGCAAATGCCATATACTATACGCTGATGTTGCTGGCCATGTTTCCCGATTATCAGGAGAGGGCCTTTGAGGAGATACAAAGCCTGTTCCCGAACACCGGAGACTTTGAGGTGACGTATGCTGACACCCAGCAGATGGTGTATCTGGATATGATCCTCAACGAGTCGATGAGGGTTATACCACCGGTTCCAGTCGTTTCCCGACAAACGTCGCATGACCTAACACTATCCAACGGGATAGTGGTGCCTCAGGGGGTTCAGATCGCCATAGACATTTACCACATGCACCGGAGCAAAAAAATCTGGGGTCCAGAAGCAGAAACCTTCAATCCAGATCATTTCCTACCCCACAACATTCAGGACAAACACCCGTACGCCTACATACCCTTCACCAAGGGAATCCGGAATTGCATAGGTAACTAAGCTTAGGGTTTGCTCATATGCTTATAGTTCGTTTAAAATCATGTTGTTTTCCATTAATTTTAGGCTGGAGATATGCCTTGATATCGGCTAAGGTAACACTGGCCAAATTGTTGAGGAATTATAGGTTTAAAACGAGTTTTCCCTTCGAAGATCTTTATTTTGTTGAAGATATAACCATGAAGCTCAAAACTGTGCCACTGCTAGAGCTGCAAAAGAGAATTTAAATGTTATTAAACTAAGTGATAATAAATATATTAACAAAAATTGTTGAACAATATGTTTTGGAAATTCTCTAATTTTTAAGCGGAAAGGGATTCAAATAAGGAATAAACTTCTCTTCTGAACAACTTACTTTCACAGTCCATTACAATTTTCTGAAACATTCACTTTCAATTCAATTTATTTTCTAACGTCCGTGTGTGGACAATTGACCGCCTAATTAATTTATTTAAAATTTTCATCTGCAAAGCAAATATGATTTTATTTTAAATTTCTGGTTTTAAGAAAATAAAAATTAAATGAAAAATATGTAAACTTTTCCAAACTCTCCGCGTCTCCAGCAATTTGAATTCAAACTCGATTATTCTTATTTAGTACACAATTTTGAAATATACTAAAAAATACTGTGAGGGATTTAAGACAGCTACGACCACACTGTCACATTGCTGGCAAAAGGCGGGCACATAGAAGAGCAGTTAAGCATAAACAAACCGGCAATGTCGCTGACAGATATTTTGGAATTGAACAAAACGGAGTTGTTCGCGAAGATTCGCGATGGATTGCCCGTGGTGCAGAAGACGCAGAACCTGCTGGACTGCAAGGACGACCTGCTGTTCGCCTGGGACGCCAAGGAGTGCTGCCTGCTGGTGCGCAATTGGCGCTCCTCGCTGGCGGGCGAGGTGAGCGTCCAGTTCCAGACCCTGATCCCCTCCAGCACGGTGGGCCTCGAGGTGGACCGCGTGCTGGCGTCCAACGAGTGCTCGCTGGTGGCGCTGAGCGGACCGCGTGGCGTGACCATCCTGGAGCTACCCCGCCGCTGGGGACCCGATGGATACTACAAGGATGGCAAGGCCAGGATCACCTGCCGCACCTACAGCCTGGACACGCAGCTGTTCCTCAACAACCCGCACCTGGAGGTGCGCCAACTGCGCTGGCATCCGCACTCCGTGTCGGACTCTACGCTGCTGGTGCTGCTCAACAACAACACCATCCGGGTGTACAACCACTCCAAGCTGCGCCACGTGTGGCAGGTGGGTCCCTCGCTTCACCGTGGCGAAGCCTCCAGCTCGCTCTGCGACTTCGGCGAAGTGGCCGTGGACTTTGACATCGCCCCCGCTGCAAAGCCTCGAGGTGAGTCGGAAACCACCGGGAAAAACGAAACCACACTGGATAATAGCAACAAAACGCTGGTGGCAGCCAAGTCGCTGCCCAAGCAGGAGAGGATCGAGTGGCCCATAGTGGTGCTGCGCGAAAATGGCAACATATACATCTTGATGACCGGCGTGGACTCTGAGATGACGCGTCTGCAGGGCCCCATCACCATAACGCCCCAGACGCGTGACAACTACGGCCTGGAGTCGTGTGCCCTCATGATCATACCCTCGCTGCCGCCAACTATCGTTATGGCCGAGTCCAACGGCAAGCTGCACCATGCCCTGCTCATGGAGGCGGAGGCCGCCGAGCTCTCCTTCAACGAGGTGGACGACTTTGTGCTTATAGAGCCCGCCGAATACGTCGTACACGTTCTTGAAACTGTGGAACTCGAGCTGGGACTGGCTGCTGGAGGAGGAGGAGGAGGAGCAGCCTCCTACAACTGTCCCGTGTACTTGAAGCGTGATTTGATCAACGAAATGCGCTACTTTGCCTACCACAATGCGGGCCTGCACGCCGTCACCGTGAGTTTCATCTCCGAGCTGCAGCGCTACCTGGACAGCGAGTCCGAGGAGGACAGGCTGGAGCTGGCGGCCTCTTCCCGGGCCGAGTACATCCTGTGCACCAAATTCGACTCCAGTGAGTCCGTGAACGCAGTCTTCGGGCTGGCTCTACTGCAGATCCCTGCCGGAGTGGTCCTGCTCCTGGGCAGCGGCCAGGTGATCAGTCTCAAGCTGGTCATCGATGCCCAACTACTGGTGACACCCAATGAGAGCAAGCAGGCTGGCTTGGATGTGTCGCAGCAGGAGAGTGGGCCTTCGTTTGTGGACACCATTAAATCGCTGCTGCAGCGCAGTGTTAACCAGCCCATCCTGGCGGAAAAACTCGCCTCGCCTTCCGCTCAGGAGAGCTACGAGCTGCTGAACCAGGCCATCGAGGTCCTGCGCGAACAGTACCTGAAGCGGCATGACCTCGTGCGCGCCGCCTTCGCCCGGCACATCAACCAGATCCAGCTGAAGCGGGAGCAGCAGAAGCTGGAGATCCAGGACCTGGAGCAGGAACGCGAACTGATCAGCGAGCGGGCCCATAAGCTGGCCGAGCGCTTCGAGGAGATCAGCTACAGCCAGGAGCTGCTCGTGCGCAAGTGCAATGGCCTGATGCAGAAGGCCAATGCCGCTCTGCCTAACAATGTGGTGGCGGAGCGCGAGTTTGCCCAGGAAGTGAGCCGTCTCAACACCGTCACCCAGAGCATGGCCGCCGGGTTGGAGAGCTGCAAGAAGACGCTGAACAAGCAGCGCTACCACATTGCCAAGAGCCAGGAGGAACTGAAGAAGAATGCCTACGAGCTGCCGGAGAAGCAGCACAGCACCATCACCGAGATACTGACCCAACTGACCGGCGAGATCGATCGCCAGATCATCGACGTCAAGCGCATCAACAAAATCGTTGGTGTATAAGCTCGAATGGGAGTGCGCACTGTTATGATTTCGCCACCTTTTTTGTTGATGGTAAATCCGAAACGTAGAACTAAAACGTATTAATAATAAACATGTCGATTAAGTCCATTATTCGGTAGCCTTCTTCTCTTTGTATTCGATGGCATGTTAATCAGAATACGTCACATGTGTCTGCCAGACTGTTGAAAACATCTATACACGTGTTGTTCAAAACTAAGTCGAATACAGTAAACACTTTCCTAAGTCGACTGCAATGCTACTCAAAGATCAATAGTTCTTCTTTGGAAACTACCTATTTATTTGGCTCAGGTATTTGAACTATAAAATTATGCTGTATGTTGATGTAAACTAGTGTTTCTTGAATAGATCTTTTACTGTATTTGTCGCACTTCGATCGTTTACCCGTTCTCTCTTTCGAAACGAAACGAAAAACATTTGCAAGGCTAATGACATTTGCCCCAAGCCTTTGGGGTTTCGCTTGCTTTTGCGTTCTAGTGGCAGTCTGAAGCGAAGCTTGGCCGACGAGAGATGACGCTGATCCTACTGGCCGCCCTCTCCACCATCTACACCGGGATGTTCAACTACGTGAAGGCGAAGTTCCCGTTCGTGATCGAGGCCGCCATGGTGACCCTGTGCTTCGGCTCCATTGTGGGCCGATTCTGCATACTGGCCTAGGCGAACACTCATAACTCAGAAGACTGGGGACTGCGTGAATCGAAGGAGCTATATATTTATATGGATGTGTGTCTGTCTTGTGGCTTTATGTAAATACAAACTAGTGGCTTAAACCTAAACCTGCGGCTTCTCGATCAGGTGGATGTAGAAGGCGGGGTTCTTCACCTGGCTCATCTCCTTGAAGTCGCCGTACAGCTGGTGCGGCGCCTTCGCCGAAAAGATCTCGCCGAGGATCTCCCGGAAGCGCTTCAGTTCGTGGGGATAGTAGGAGAGGCGGAACTCGCTGGTCAGCTTGTTGCCCGCGATCAGGTAGTCCATGGACACCAGCGATGGCTTGCCGCAGTAGAAGAGCACCGACGTCTTGATGTCCGCCGTATGACTCGTCTGTAATTGGGTGCAAGTCATCATTGGATTAATTGAATCGAGAGCGGTGTAACTGATAAGGAGAATGATTAGGAGGTACTCGGATGATACATCTGATTTGGGTTCAAAAACAAGATCATCCGTTCTTATCGCCACGATGATGCGACAACATTTAGCTATTTTGAATGGAATGTGGCATTTAATAGTTTTTAATTATTGAGACTAGCTGATGTGGCAGAATTTTTACAACTCATCAAATATTATTTATAGAAGGTATTACAGCTTAGTTGATTAGATTTTACAGACAGATTTTAAAGGGGTCAAGCGCATGTGTTTATAAAATGGATAATGGAACAGATATATTATTATTATGGCAGCATACTTACATTGTAGTAAATGCTCTTGGCAGGCGTGGCTCCCGTCTCCAGGATATTGTCATAGTTGCGATGGTCGATGAGGAGCACTCCTCCTGGCTTGAGGCACCTTTCGAAGTTGCCAATGGCCTGCTTGTGCTCACGCTGATCCCCGAAGCCATCCATCAAGTGGGCAAAGGAGTTGCCCAGGCAGATGACCGCATCGAAGCCGTCTTGGATGTGTTCCTCGATGTCGTCGTACAGTGTCAGCCAGTTGGCCTCTTCAATAACTATCAGGAATAAATTAATATTTAGCTTAAAGTCAAAGACATTGGCTTAGAGTATACGAACCCCACTTGTCGAAGGCGGGTTCCTTTCGGCGGGCCCAGCGCTCCTTAAGCGCGTACTTCAGCATCTTATCGGAGGCATCCACGGAGACAACCTCGAAGCCTTCCTCCACAAGCATCAGGGAGTCCACACTGGAAACAAATATTTGTAAGTTAATATTAAATTATTTTGTATTTATTATCCAACAAGACTAAGTCACCTATATATTAACGACGATCACTTCACAGGATAAATTGTGAGTTTGTCTTTTACATAGCTTAAGATCTAATATAATAAAAATAAGGAAAAGTTATGTTTATCAGAAGAGCTTAAAAATATAGTTAGAAATATATTGACAGACTTTATAATCACGAAATAAATGTTGACTTAAGTCGAGTAGACAACATTCGAACATTAAGAAGACTCAAAAGATCCCACATTCTCAGTCTTCCTTATAAATAAACTCAACAAACCGAAACAGGAAAACTGCTATATCTGGTTTTTTAATATTAATCATAAAATTCACTTAATTAATTTACAATCTGTGTTGTAAATAAATAAATGCAAGAAATTTATACATTTTATTCAACTTGCTTTAAATGATAACAATTTAGTTCTAAACGTTTCACTTTAGTTTTGCTAAAATTGTGTAAAATTTGTCGGTTTGTGCCTTTCAAATTAATAAATTTCTCTTAAAAAGGGCGTTAAACTTCCTATTTTAATTTCTTTTACGTTACTTAATACTTAAGGATATTGTCGTGTCCTTACCCCGTTCCACAGGCCACGTCCAGGACACGCTTGCAGCCCTTGTTGCGCAACATGTCGATCAGGAAGTTCTTGTAGTTGTCCGTGCGCGAGTTCTTGTCCCCGATGAAGATCTCCCAGACCTTGGCGGCCTTGCCATCGGCATACTGGTCCCGCACTCCCTCGGCGGAGATGCCGTCGGAACGGGCAACGAACACACTGTCGGCGGAGGTGGTCATCTCTGGTGGTCAGCTCTGGTCGGCGGATCGCAGCTAAATAATTTGCCGTGCCGCAAAAACGCTCCACGTCGACTTTCCGGGGAGCCGGAATCAGAATCAGAATCAGAATCAGTAGCCAACAGCTGTCGCGCCCACAAAATGCCGACGTAGTGCTAATCCGTAATCTTATCAATTCCGCCCGCTTGACGTGTGACCCACGAGCTACGGATGACGACGAGAGCTGGAGCTCCAACATCTGGTCCCCACGGAACGTGTTCTCGCAAGCGGGCTTTCGCTTTTGTGTCTTGCCCCTGAACCTGACCCTCCGGTTCTGATTAGAAGCCAGCGATCGCATCCCGTGGTAAAAACAGAATGACGGAGCAAAATAGTTAAGCATGTCAGATTACAGTAGAGCCCCACATTTAATACACAGATGCAGATATCATCTGATTACAGCATCGGTTCTTTAAGTGTCTGCATAATTTGTTTTTAAATGGTCACAATGTATGTACATGTATTTTTAATCATTTTTTGCACTTTTTAGGTACTTTAAAGTTAATTTAATTATTTATTCACTTGACTTTGTTTTTGGAATTTATTTAAATATCCGAAAATTCAATTTAAGCTCAAAATTAAATGAAAATAGGACCCAATTGAATAGTAAGTCATGCAAGTCATGCAATTTAAAATGCACAGTAATTAATTTTAAAATATTGTTTTTTAATTTATGAAATTAAAATGAAATGAATATTAAATTCAAAATGTTGAATTCAATTGCCAGATATTTAAAGTTTAGGGTATGCTATTACAAGTATTTACTGTTCATCGTATGAGCTCAATAAGTTTTATATTTTCCTTGAATTTCCCCAAATCACTGTTTACTAATTATGAGTCCTCACTGAAACAATATACAAATGCACATATGTACATACATATGTATATATCATCAAGATTTGCCAACTCATTTTTCATCCCACCAAATACATTTCCAAAAACATTCATTTGAGTTGATATAAAAAATTGCGTTTATTTTTAATAGTAGTAGCTATAAATATTGCACTGCTTTAAATTACTGGGACTGGTGATCTCCCACATGGTTGGTCTTCATATTGCACCTCGATTTCTACGGATAAGTTCTTAGAGATAAAGTCACACTGAATGCTCTTCAATAGGAGCTACTTAGGGCTACACATGATTACGTTTCGCAAGATAATTGATCGATCAGCATTGACAATTGCCTTGGGAAACATAAGCCGTACGGGGGATTATAGTATAGTATTAGTATTAGTATTAGTATTAGTATAGGATAATGAGTATGCAAGTGTATAATTAAGATATAAGCTTATGTGTTATCTAGTGCGTAACTCCGAGTGAAGTGGGATCCCGGTCTATGGCAAGTACCCCAGCGAATCCTCCAAAGAGGCGCTCACCGCCCGCATCGACTGGTAGCTGCCCATGCGGCTCCTGCTGGCGCTGCTGCGCACGGAGGCGGCCTTCGCCTCCATGGCCTTGAGGTTGGCCAGCAGGTTGTCGGCACTGCCCATGCTCTTCCCCAGCAGCGGCGGCAGGGGCAATGGCACTGCCACTGGTACTGCCACTGGCATGGGCATTGGCACGGGCATTCCGTCCGTGCTGAAGGAGTCGCGGGTGCGGTACGATGATCGTCGCGAGGAGGCGTTCGAGCGGCAGCTGCCCACCCGCGATCCCGCACCCTTGGCCGGGCACAGGCTCTTGATGTCCGTCGTCTGGCTGAGCTTCATGTCCGCAAAGACGGCCGCCGCCTCCACGCTCTTCTTCACGCTCAGCGCCTCGTGCGGCTGCACCGGCTGGCCACTGCCGCTGATGCTGAAGAGCTCGTAGTCCAGGCCCAGCTTCTCCGACGGCTTCGTCTTGCGCGAAGCTCCGTTTCCCGCATTTCCCGCGGGACGCGACTTGCGCTGCTGCTGTGACAGTGAGTCCTCGCTAATCGTCGCCGCCGCCGCCGCCGCCGAGGAGCGCTGACGGCGATGCGTCCGCTTGCAGTAGCACTTGCTGGCGCTCACACAGCTGTCCGAGTCGCAGGACGTGGTCGTCTCCGTGTGCGAGTTGTGGGCCGAGTCCCGCTCCATCGAGCTGGCCGGCTCCTCCTCCACCATGGAGCAGTAGCACTTGTCGTCGGAGCGGCACGAGATCAGCGAGTGCCGGTTGGTGGCCACGGAGCCGGATCCGTTTTGCGACAGCACCCCTCCGCTCGAGTTCTTCCGGGTGGGCGTGGCCAGGGCCATGTTGCGCTCGTTCTTCTGGCGCAGCTTGTGGTTCAAGTGCTCCGTGCGCAGGCTGCAGTAGCAGCGATCGGCCGACGCGCAGGCGCAGGACTCGGAGTCGTAGCTGCATTCCGAGCAGGACACGTATCTGCGGGACATCAGGAATGAGGTTAGTAACACTTAGAACTTTTGAGCTATAGGATATAGACGTCCGATATGCATAAAAAAATACGATTTGGAAAGATGCGTGTCAATAGATTTTACACTGCGCGAAATATCTTCAATTCCTGCAAGTAATATTACTTACTTCTGACCAAAATTATAATACCTTCTGCAAGGGGTGTAAAAACTTTAACAGGAACGAGAGTTGTTCGTTTTCTGTACTCGAATAATCTATTTTAACCAGATTTATTGTCATCAGAGTGTTATATTCCACATATAGTCACTTCTATAACTAAAATTTTTGATTTTCTATACGTTGGTGGTTTAATTTGCATATGCAATTGAGAAACGAGAAGTTTTATTGCCCTTGCAGATATATATATGTATGAGCATAAAGCCAATAATAATCAGTTTGTTCCAGATCGTTGCGGATCGATTTTGGAAGTCTAAAGTATGTTGAGTATAACAAATTTACTTCAAAAATATGATGTAGTAATGCAATTATTCTATTTAAAAACTAGAAGGACCAGATTAATCAATTTTACCCAATCGTTCAAATAGAAATTACAGGCTATAACAGTGAAAGCCCCCTAGAAGGTACAAATACACATGGTCCGAATCTTACCCACTGCTGCTGTTCCGGTTGAGTCCTTGGGTGTGCTCGTTCCGCACCACTGAGACGTCGGAGCCGCTGGTGGCCGCCCTGTTG